TTCTTTAGGGACAGGGTTTTCTTTCACTCTCACCCAAAATCCTGTCTAAAGTGGTTTCTGATTCTCATATTAATCAAGTAATATATTTACTGACTTTCTTTCAAAAACCTCATGTTAGCAGAGCTTTGGTTCATTACCTGGATTGGACTAGGTCTTTCAGGTCTTCGTCTCGGCTCCTTATTGTGGTTTCAGACGGAGTAGAGGGCCACCCAGAGGATCTCTTCCTGGATTTTCAGCTGTGTTTGTTTATGCAGCTGACTTGGCTGATATTGCCCCTTGAAAGAAAGTTGCCAGGTCACAGCTAACTTCCGCTGCCTTTCTGGCTCGTCTACCTGTACTGAATGGTTGCTAGACAGCAACCTGGTCATTAGTCCATACGTTTGCCTCTCACTATGCTTTCTCTTATCAATCTAGAGACAGTGCCAGATTTGGGCGGGTGGTCCTACAATCCCTGTTCAAGTAGATTCCGAACCTACTTCCAGTTCACACTGCTTGTGTCATAGAATCATAGAATATCAGGGTTGGAAGGGACCTCAGGAGGTCATCTAGTCCAACCCCCTGCTCAAAGCAGGACCAATCCCCCATAGTTGCCCCAGATCCCTAAATGGCCCCCTCAAGGATTGAACTCACAACCCTGGGGTTAGCAGGCCAATGCTCAAACCACTGAGCTATCCCTCCTCCCTCCTGTCACCTGCTGTGGAATGGACATGTGCAATCACTCTCTGTAACTGTCTCTTCTTAAAGTTTGGTAAACTCTTGGTTTTGAACATGTGCAACACATACCCATTCCGCAACCCCTCTTCCTTCCCTTCCATATTGGAGCCTTTCCAATATAAAGGAACTGAGGGTGGCTGGGAGCAGTGTGGCCCTGTGTACCTGCATGCAGTGGTGTGAGGCATCAGAGTTGCTCATGCTGGCCCGATGGGTATGGCTGAGGGAAAAATCTCCAACTATGCACAAGGTGCATGCGCACCTTTTGTGGAATGGATGTATGGAACACATCTCCAAGAACAACAGTTACAGAAAGGTAGGTAACTGGTATTTTTAAAAAAAAAAAAAATTAACATGCTTTAGGGAATTTGTAGGGTGATTTGGAAAATAGATTCTTTGGAAGCATTGGGTGGTTACATCAGTGATACCTTTTCAGTGATAACTAGTTTGTAGAATAGAATTGATGTCATACAGCTCCAGTGGCTGTAAGAAGCTTAGTATCCTGTGTGGCATTACTGTTTCTGTGTCCATATAACTAGCCCTGTATCACATTTAGCATAATTTGTGGTGTTAAATTGGACTGATTTATCTAGGAGAGTGAAATAATCTCTCATCCTGTCAAAACGGTCACAAAACGGTCAGACCAAGATTTAATTGCATCAGCAGTTCAGGGGGTTGCATTCTGTCTGCATTATTCTTGGTTTGTGGCTAAATTGGGAAGCAGAAGTACTAGAAAATAATGGTTTCAATCTTTAAGCATTAATACCGCTGATTACAAAAAGCAATGTACTTGCCAACCTATCATGTAATACTACATGTAATAGTAAGAAATCTGTGATGGCAAGAGATATTAACTATGATAATGCCTCTGGTGCAATATTCTGAGGCTTAAAACACCTGTATTATAAAATATCTAAAAATTTAAGTAATCTGTTATGTGGAAAATTGTCATATGCTTTCAAAGCATAGACAGGCAAATACCTGTTATACTTAAACACACGCATAATTCCCATTGATGTCAACAGCTGGGGTAAGAGGGGTGTGTGTGTGTGCGTGCACGCGTATGCACGCTACTCCTGAGGGCACTCTGTGCCAAAACATTTAAAAATTCTGCACACATTTTAAAATTCTTCAAATTTATTTGTCAAATAAATGTGGAGACTCCACCATGGCATTGGGGAGCATGGCTGCAGAGAGGTGGGAGAAGACTTTGCAGCTCTTCCTCTCTTCCCATCCCCCCCCCCCGCCCCACTGGGACAGACTCAGTGGTGTGGCTGAACCCAGCCTTGACACAGCACAAGGACCGGGCCTGCCCCTTGGTGCCAGCTGCACCAGGTGTGGGCAGACAGGCTCAACGAGGCAGGATCCAAGAGTGGAGGGGTTTAGTGTGGGGGGATCCAGGTGTGAGTTGAGATGGGTCTGTCTGGGGCAATCTGAGTGCGGGAAGCTCAGGGGGGATCCGGGTGCAGGGGGAGATCTGGAAGCACAGGGGCTTGTGGGGGGGGAGGTGTTCTGAGTGCAACAGTAATGGGACTCTGAAGGGGGGTCCAGATGGTTGGGGCTCGGGGGTGGGGTTCTGGGTGTGGTGGGGCACAGAGCTTGGCAGGAAGGTCTGGTTGTGGGGGGCTTAGTGGGGTGGGGATCCAGGTGCAGCTGGTTGGGGCTCAGTGGGGTGGGGATCTGGGTCCGGGTGGCTCATCAGGGTGGTCCAGGTGAAGGGGGAATGGGGCTCATGGGGAAGAGGTTCTGAGTCTGGGGCGGGGGTGAGGCTCGTTGGGAGGGTCTAGATATGAGGGGGGGGTCTGCAAGTACGGGGGTTGGGCAGATGGAGGATCCCTCCCCCTGAAGCTGAGGAGTGATGGGCGCAGGAAGCGGGAAGAGGGGGTGGAGGGAGAAGTTTGCAGAGCTTCCTGCAGCTGGGGGAGAAATCTGGGGATGGGTCTGACCCAACCCCGGATGCCATGCAGGGGAAGAGGAAATCCCGTCCTCCCCAGCCCAGCCAGAACTAGCAGCTGAGCCCAGCACAAGGATAGATGTTAAATGATCTGGAGGATGGTGTGGATTGCACTCTCAGCAAATTTGCGGATTATACTAAACTGGGAGGAGTGGTAGATACGCCAGAGGGCAGGGATAGGATACAGAGGGACCTAGACAAATTGGAGGATTGGGCCAAAAGAAATCTGATGAGCTTCAATAAGGATAAGTGCAGGGTCCTGCACTTAAGACGGAAGAACCCAATGCACAGCTACAGACTAGGGACCGAATGGCTAGGCAGCAGTTCTGCGGAAAAGGACCTAGGGGTGACAGTGGATGAGAAGCTGGATGAGAGTCAGCAGTGTGCCCTTGTTGCCAAGAAGGCCAATGGCATTTTGGGATGTATAAGTAGGGGCATAGCGAGCAGATCGAGGGACGTGATCGTCCCCCTCTATTCGACATTGGTGAGGCCTCATCTGGAGTACTGTGTCCAGTTTTGGGCCCCACACTACAAGAAGGATGTGGATAAATTGGAGAGTCCAGCGAAGGGCAACAAAAATGATTAGGGGTCTGGAACACATGACTTATGAGGAAAAAAGAAAAGGAGTACTTGTGGCACCTTAGAGACTAACCAATTTATTTGAGCATGAGCTTTCGTGAGCTACAGCTCACTTCATCGGATGCATACCGTGGAAGCTGCAGCAGACTTTATATATACACAGAGAATATGAAACAATACCTCCTCCCACCCCACTGTCCTGCTATTGTTTCCTTTTCCCTGCCCCACAGTGATTTACCTCTCTGCCGGCTGCCCTGGGCACCCAAAACATACTGCTGGGAAGGGTCGTCTGACCGCTCTTGTGGCTTCCCTTTCTGCCAGGGAAGCAAAGTCATTTTTCTGCAGGGAAGCAAAGAAATCTGTGGGGAACATAAATTGTGCACATGCACAGTGGCGCAGAATTCCTCCAGGAGTTGTGTGCACACAGCTATTGTAGAACATATGACAATGAGATTTTTTAAAAAATATTCAGATTTGTCTTAATTTCTTTTATTCAGTTTGCTAAATATGTCCTCCCATGAACATAGCCATGAGCAGTGAGTAATATTTATGCAGAGCAATTAGGATATCTGTTAGAGATTCCATTGTTGTGAACACTGTAACTGTGTTTAAAGTCTAGTAAATGACCTACTGTAATGTTCTACCATGTAAATATTGTGGGCTCGTTTTTAAGGCAGGGGCGTATTGCCTCATTCCATCAAATTCACGAGGCCATGATTTTCTTTTAAGCTCATAATTACTTAAACCTTCCCTCTACTTTTCCTGCTGTTGTCAAAGTTAACATTATGCACCAAGGTGAATAGTGTGGGTACAGTTGCAAGCTTCAGTGCAAATGATTTGTCATTTTTTCTCCAGCTCTAATGTAAACTTTAACTGCATGCTTAAGTTTCTCTTTGTGGGAAAAGAGATTTAAATCTGTACATCTTTTTAACCTTTTATCTGCAAAGGCTTATTCATATCGTGCTGCTGGGTTGGTTTTTCATATTTCTAGATAACCATGCATTGATCTGTTGCTAATCTGATGTAACCTTTTTTGTATGTATTGATCATAGCGCTTTACTCATGGGAGGTGAATCAGAAACTGTCTTGGCTGAACAGTTCATCATTTAAGGCTGAACTTAAATTGTTGTGATTTTAGTTGAATGTTAAATGGACGCCTACTCAGATATTAGATTATTTAAACAGCAGGCTGAAATGGACCATCACTCAGAATGGATTTTTGTTTCAGTTTTACTAGAGAAGACTTTAAATAAAACTGTCATTTAGGTCTGGATGGCTGAACTATCTATTTTTCTGATGTATATTAATGTAACCATCCAAAAGTTTAGGTTATGTCTGAGAGCCTTGTCTGTGTGCTTGGTGCTGTGCAAACCGAATGGAAGGCATGGTTCCTTACTGTTCTGTAAGCAGAATGATAAGTATTTTGTCATGGTGTTTTTGCCCCCACCTTAATAATGGCGTTTCAGTATTTTAAAATGCTAATGGCATTTTTTAAGAGGACAGAGTGCTGCCAGCAATGGCTTTGAAAATGGACACCAGATAGAGCCCTACTGGCCATCAGCATTTCTTGTGGGGTAGAAATTATTTCATTTGTATTGTGGTGGCACCTAGGATCCCCCAGTCCTGGACTAGGACCATTTTGTGCTAGGTGCAGACAAACAGAACAAAAAGATGGTTCCTTCCCTAAGGGTTTACAATCCAAGTAAGCTGTTGCTCTGAGAATCTTTAATTTTGCAATGCACTTTTTTCCTTACAGCTGTGCCACCAAACATTGCAGATCTGAAGAATTTAGAAGTGCTTAACTTTTTCAACAACCAGATTGAGGAGCTGCCTACGCAGATTAGCAGCCTTCAGAAGCTCAAACACCTGAATCTTGGGTGCGTAGCAGTAAAGCAAAAATGACCACCAAAAAAAAAATGCAAAAACTGTTAGTGGTTAACAGTAATTGAATCTTGCACTTAAAGCTTTCATGTTTTGTAAATAAGATCAATTTTTATGGCACTTGGGATAGCTCTGAAATTATGGTTTCATTGTAGTTGAACCAAAAATTACGTGTCTTAGAAAAACACCAGTTGTGTATTTATTTAATTTGAAACAGTTTGAGGAAGAGACACTTGTGTATGATCTCTTTCACGTTACATTGATGTCTAGTTTGTCAGTAGCAATCCATAATGATCCACTTATTAAATTCAGTTTTAAATCCGTTACATACTATTTCATGCATGTGCAAAATTGTTCCCTTACCTGCTATCTTTATTAAATCTGAGAGTTCTGTGGTCACTATATGATAAAAGATCTAGGATCTGCTTCATGCTTTAGCATAGATTAATTGTCTTCTGAAAGATTAATGTTTGAGTTTTATTTAGGATTTCCATCTGGGTAGTTAGAAACTGGGATTTGTATCCATTGAGTAATGAAGGAATTGCGGTTCTGGTTAAGAGTGGCTTAATACAACAATGATTTCTGTTGAAAGCCTAAAAGGATAAGCATTCATAGAATGGAAGCATCCTTTAGAGGTCACCCCCTTTAACAGTTCTCAAACATATTTCTATCTAATACAGTTGGTGGTTCCTTTCTGCTTAACCACCATTACAACTACTGTTTTTTTTAATGGAGTTTCTGCAAGAAATATGATGATAAAACTAAACCTACAGTAGGGGGACGGACCTTTTTCTGAAACCGTATTGTAGTTGTATTTGGTATGTTTCCTATTTTGTGGGTGCAATTTTATATTTACAGCTTTCTCCCTGTATGAATGAATTTTTATATTACAAACTCAGACCTATAAACAACTTAAGTCAGAGGGAAAGGATGTGTATGCGCTGTTACTTAAATCCAAATAGACTTTAGCTAACAGGCTGCATATTCTCTAATGAGTTGGATAACTCCGTAAGAGATTGATAATTGAACTCCGTTGTTGGCTGCAGTGATATAAATATTTTTTTGGTATTGTCTCCTCGATAAAGAACTTTTGGTTCTTATTTGGTCTCTGGTTGTCTAGCACAGTGGAATATGCTTTGATTCTTGGCAGCCTCCATTGGCTTGGATTTAACAATGAGACTGGATAATTAACACGTTTGCCTGGGAAAGTAACACTCCAACATTCTATGTGCGCGCGCACATATTTTGACGAGGGATACACCTCAAGGTATAGTGCTGCATCATTACTGGGGGAAATAGTTGAATGCTTTCTACATATGATGAAACCAGTAACAAGTTGATTGTACTTAGTTGTAACCAATATACTACTTCCCTGAATTTCTTCCATTAGTGTTGTTTTTAGGGGTAGGAGTGAACGAGTGTTGTGAATTGGCATTCTTGCTGAGGAGTATCCTTAGTCTTGCAAATGGTAAACCAAAGGCTGCCTTCTATGTTAACTTCGTAGTGTAACATTCTACTTCTAATATACAACTTAAGGGAGTCCAATGCCATGGCATCTGGGTGCTTCACATATTTTAAGTATTATAACATAACTAATGTCCCCCTTTAAAAACTGGTAAATTCCTTCAAGGTCCATTTCCCATTAAAGCCCCTGGAAAGGTTTTGATCTCAGGAGTTGGATCAGTCCATTAGTGGCTGCTGCTGAGAGAGATTTTAAAAAAATAAACCACATCAAAAGAAGACCCCACCTTGGGAATGTGATTTATTCCTTTATAGCTAAACTTTTTTGTAGCAGCCCACAGGGCAGCTGAACAATTCATACTCTACACTTCTCCAGCAAATACTCAGATCACTTTGGGTAAAGTACTCCAGCTTCCAAGGTCAACTTTCATTTTTCTGAGGTCTTCTGTATATTTTCCCACCTGCTTTTCTTCGCCAAGTGGTTTAAAAAAAATCTGAATACAACATCCTAGTGCTCCTTGTGTTGCTATTTTCTCTTTTTCTTAGGGATGGGTTTTTGTGATCTTCAGAGCCTGGCCACATCAGGTCAACTGTCACTCATGGGCCACACCCACAGTCAAAAATATTCGTTCACACAGAGGAATAAAATTGGCAAATTAACTTTGTATATCCACTGCCTCTGCTTGCTGTTTGTTTACAAATATTTGGCTGCACAAGGCTATATTCATTGCATGAAAAATATCAGCCACTGGCCACTTTTCAACATCTATGTGGAATGGCAGTGGAGGCAGAGAGCATACATACGAATGGCCTTACTGGGTCAGACCAAAGGTCTATCTAGCCCAGTATCCTGTCTTCCGACAGTTGCCAGTGCCAGGTGCCCCAGAGGGAATGAACAGAACCAGGTAATCATCAAGTGATCCATCCCCTGTTGCTTATTCCCAGCTTCTGGCAAACAGAGGGTATGGACACCATTCCTGCCTGTCCTGGCTAATAGCCATTGATGGATCTATCCTCCATGAATTTATCTAGTTCTTTTTTAACCCTGTTATGATCTTGGCCTCCTCTGGCAAGGAGTTGCACACGTTGACTGCATTTTGTGAAGAAATACTTTCATTTGTTTTAAACCTGCTGCCTATTAATTTCATTTGGTGACCCCTAGTTTTTGTGTTATGAGAAGTAGTAAACAACACTTCCTTATCTACTTTCTCTACACCAGTCATGATTTTATAGACCTCAATCATATCTCCCCTTAGCCGTCTCTTTTCCAAGCTGAAAAGTCCCAGTATTATTCATCTCTCCTCCTGTGGAAGCCGTTCCATATCCCTAATCATTTTTGTTGCTCTTTTCTGAACCTTTTCCAATTCCAATATATCTTTTTTTTTTGAGATGGGGTGACCACATCTGCACACAGTATTCAAGATGTGGGTGTCAGAGGAAGTCTTGATCAGGAAGAAACTTTTTTGGGGAGGAAAGGGGGCAAGAGGGGTAAGAATGAGTAACTGCTGGGCTAGAGTGGTAAGTTTACCCCTCGTCCCCCTATACAACTTGGAACAATAGGGCCCAGGCATGCAGCTGGCATCCAGCCTGGTACCTGGATTTGTGCTGGATAAAAGCGTGTCTGAGAAGATAATCACCACCTGAGATCACCAGCTGAAAGCATGTGCCCCCCTCCTGCAGGACAGAGGGTATCTGGAACCCTCAGGCTTGTGTTGCCAGGGTCTGGAAAGAGGCAGGGAGCAACAGTACTTGTCTGAGGGAGAGGCTGCCATCAGTGGTGCTAGTGAGGTGGGGAGGGCACAGCAGCAGGCAGTAGTGGTTGTGAAGGAGCTGTAATGCTCCCCCAGCACTGGGCGGGTGTTTTGATGTGCTAGTGATTTCTATAACTTTTTAGATCAAGAACAGAAATAGCAGTGTTCATGGTGCAACAGAGGCTCCATTACCCAAACAATCCAGGAGCATTAAACCTGTATTACAGCAACCTCCCACAGCTACAGCGAAGGATACTCCTTCCCTGCTCCTAACCAATAGAATTACAGTAACATCTAGAGGGCCTTCTCTTAGCTCGGTGACCCACTGTACTATGTGGTGTCACTACTTATAGTTAACAGTACGATTTAATCATGGGTATTTTTAGTAAAAGTCATGGACAGGTCATGGGCAAGAAACAAAAAATCACGGCTCGTGACCTGTCCATGACTTATACCATAAATACCCCTGATGGAATCTTAGGGTGGATGGGAAGCCCCGGGGCCCGCCGCGTCGGCCGCTGCTCGGGCGGGCCCCGGGGCCCGCCGCGTCGGCCGCTGCTCGGGCGGGCCCCGGGGCCCGCCGCGTCGGCCGCTGCTCGGGCGGGCCCCGGGGCCCGCCGCGTCGGCCGCTGCTCGGGCGGGCCCCGGGGCCCGCCGCGTCGGCCGCTGCTCGGGCGGGCCCCGGGGCCCGCCGCGTCGGCCGCTGCTCGGGCGGGCCCCGGGGCCCGCCGCGTCGGCCGCTGCTCGGGCGGGCCCCGGGGCCCGCCGCGTCGGCCGCTGCTCGGGCGGGCCCCGGGGCCCGCCGCGTCGGCCGCTGCTCGGGCGGGCCCCGGGGCCCGCCGCGTCGGCCGCTGCTCGGGCGGGCCCCGGGGCCCGCCGCGTCGGCCGCTGCTCGGGCGGGCCCCGGGGCCCGCCGCGTCGGCCGCTGCTCGGGCGGGCCCCGGGGCCCGCCGCGTCGGCCGCTGCTCGGGCGGGCCCCGGGGCCCGCCGCGTCGGCCGCTGCTCGGCGGGCCCCGGGGCCCGCCGCGTCGGCCTGCTCGGGCGGGCCCCGGGGCCCGCCGCGTCGGCCGCTGCTCGGGCGGGCCCCGGGGCCCGCCGCGTCGGCCGCTGGAAGTCACAGAATCCGTGACTTCTGCAATCTCCGTGACAGACATGGAGCCCTACTTATAGTACACCACTGTCTCTGTTGCAAAAAACTTAGTTGATGTAAACAAGACAAAGGGTGGGAGAGGATGTATTCTCATTTCATAGATGGGGAAGTGAGGCATAGTAAGATCAAGGCCTTGATTCTGGAGAGAGTTCTACTGGAGCGTAACTTTAAGCACTTACGTAGTGCCAGTGGGTCAGTCTGTTCTTGTGTTTAAAATTAAGCATGTAAATCTTTGTAGAATTGAGACTTAAGTGATTTGCCCGTGGTCACACAGGAATTCTGGTGCTACAGCAGCACTCTCACAGACATAAAGTGAGTGAACTATAATACTGAAATAAAGAGAACTGTAAACTACATTTTAAGAAACTCTTGCTGCTGCTGCTACTGCTACAAGCTAATCATGTGTCCTGGATTCATAGCTGCCTGTGTCCTTGAATAGCATTCCACATGGGGCCTACTCTAAGTTACACAAACATGGTGTATTCTCCTCTTCCCCCGGCCCCCCCCCACTGCTTTATTCAAGGGAATAAAACAGAACTCTGATCAATTCATACATGCATCAGAACAAATATGTAAATAACTTGGGCATAGAGCTGCTTCTTTATCCATGTGCACATTAATAAAGCTGTGCAACTGGATGCCAACAAAAGAGAAGACTTTTCAAAGAGAGGGAAATACAAACAGCTCTGGTATGTTGACTGGTGTACCTGCTAGGTTGAATGCTATGTGTTTCCAAGTACCAACTCCCAGGCTGATACACCTACTCGTGTTCTCTGTGGCCCTTGATCATGAACTGAAATAATCTCCAGGAAAAAAAAAATACGTGCTCCAACAATTGCTGGCAGCTTTTAAGCTAGCTATAAAATGAGATGACGATGCTTACCTACCTAACAGGAGCGCTCTAAGAAAAAAAAATCCATTGATGTTTGAAGAATTTGATTGCTGGTGATGTGGGGGGGAGAGGGTCTTGAAGCAAGTCTAGCTGTGACTTCTTCCAGGGATCTTGACAGGGTTACTCAGTCTTAGTATATCGTGTGTCATTGTACACTTTACAGGTGTATTGGGTGTCACTTATGCGGAGGGGGACTCACTTTACATGCACTGCACAGCAGCTTTTGATGGGTCTGCTGCTCATCAGAAGATTTCACCACATTATTCAATGGAATATCTAAAATTTCAGTCCTAATTCTTAGTCTCCTACAAATAACTGTAGCTTGAGCTACATCGTTTAATACAGGGTTTTTTTGTATAATTGAGTCAGGCCTCCAGACATGCCTTTTTACAAAAACTCACTCTGACCCTGAGGATTTGAGTAGCCCCAATTTGATACCATGTGATCCAATCTCCACTCTATTCCAGGTTGCTTTGTTTCATTTTAGATGTGAGAGCAGCTTTAGCTCCTTCTGTAATGAACTCCATGAATACTCTCAAACCCTAACCTCATACTTTGGAGTTTTCTCCTTGATCTGTTGCATTAAACAGTCCCCCCACTCCCCCGTTTTTTTTTTAATTATTATTATTCCAGACCCTCCTTGTCCTGGTTCTTTTGGTTAGCTGTCCAGCACGGATGCTTTTTTTAAATTTTTTTAAGGCAGGGCAATTAGCACTGCCTATTCTTAAGGTTGTGTGACACTTCCTATTATAAGACCCTGCTTTCAGTTGTTTAACTTTGCCATACTTCATAACATTTTCAGGGTGGGTGTTGGCCAAAACAGTCTAGTCACTTCTGAGAATAAGTTTAAGGAAAAATACATTTTTGCCAATGTTAAAATCTGGCAGTCCTTTCTTTTGAAAAGCTCTAGTGATCTGATGCTGGAAGTTGAAATTAGGCAGGGAATGGCCTTTGTGTCAAATGTGCTTTTGTCTTTTCCTGTGAAAATCCACCCACATTTGGCCAAGTTAAAAATGTTTTGAAAAATCTTACTTTTTACATGTTCCATAGTTACTTTATAGAGCTTAGCTGCTACCAGGTTCCATGCACATTGGGTATGCTGCAGCCCTACGGCTCCTGGATGTGACCAGACTGTGGACAAGCCATCTCTACACATTCTCCAGAACAGAGAGTCCAGAAACCTCCCTCTCCTGTGTTCTGTGACACACTGCTAACGCACAGGCAGCATGGAGGAGAAAGCAGACTGACTCAGATGCAGAGAGGACAAGAGTTGGACCAGGGAGAAGAAGGAAATAGACTGGGATTGAGAGCAGGGGAGAAATATGCTGGTACTGTTAGATCAAAAGCGAGAGGTCTGTGTGGTAGCTCTAAAGGTTCTAACCCAGCTAATGACCTGTGTGAATGTCAATGTGATGCCACATACTGGAATTTTTTTTCCAGTTTGCTTTTTGTGTGTGTTTAATAAAGAACATTTATTAAGGTTGCAAAGTCAAGCATAAAAAAAAATTAGGAAATGCAAGACTTAAGGTTGCCTGTGCAATCTTAATTCAGCACCTTCATGTGTATGCATTAGGATAGTCTTTAATTTTATGATCATACTGTTTTTTTCCAAAGGACCTCCCCTCATTCAGTGCACGGGGTAGATCTTCTTTGGGGATGAATCAGGGTTCTCTAGTGAAGGAGGTTGTTGTAGAAGTCGGAAGGTGTATAGTGAATGAGGTAGGATGTTGCAGGAAGAGAAAGGATAGTCTGATGGTTAAGGAAGTTGAATGCTATTCTGAAAAATTCGATTCTGTCCCTTTCTGTACCATAGAGTTCCTATGTGATGCTTAGCAAGTCACTTCATTAAACTTTTCTCAGCATCTGTTCCTCATTTTTGAGTGTCAAACTTAAGACCCTGGGGTCTGATTACAGCTGTGAGTGCTCAGTATTTCTGATAGTTAAACTCCATGGAAGCTGTGCTTTGAACATATTAAGTGCTATATAATGCTAAGTACTTTGAAAACTTAGATCCTAATTGTCTCAACTTGGGCATCCGAATTAACAGACACCTTTGATCTTATTCTCTGTGCCTCAGCTCCCTTTCCGTAGAATGAGGTAATTATGAAAATAAATTCATTAATGTTTGTGAAGCACTCAGGTATTATAATGATGAGCTTTGTAGGAAAGGAAATGAATAATTCTGTCTTCAGAGCAGTGTTTGAATAGCGTGCAGTAAATAAAGCCTGGGGCCGCACATTGACCAATGAGGAGAAAACAAAGTATTGACTCGCTGATTATTAACTGGGCACTGTCTATTCTGGGCATTGAATGAGGAACAGGTGGAAAAAGTAGTATGTGATCATGTGGAAAAAGTAGAATGTAATCAAGTGATCATGTAATTAAAGATTATTGCACAGATTACTTTAATTCTGGCATTTCCTATCTTTTGAGTGGTTGAATTTTCAACCTTGATGATGATGTAATGTATTTTGTGTGTGTGTGTGTGAGAAAATAAGACAGTGACATTAAATACATTGTCATTTTCCACTACTGTAATGAGAGCTGGTTGGAAGATCTTGTTGACTGAAAATTCAGTCTCTCCCCCGCCCCCCCTTATGACTTCCGTGCCATATCACCCATTTTCCCCATTGTATAATAGTTCTGTTTGAAATTCTCATCCATAAGTAACCCTTCTCAACCCACTGTTCATGGTCATTCTTTGCTGCATTGTGTTGAATGTATCCACTCCATCCCACCACCCCCAAAGCATCTCTATTACTGAAGAGTGGTAAAGTCTGTCTGTCTTCCTCCTCCCTCAGTGGCTCTATGGCTATCTTAGATCAATAGGTCCTGGATCTGCTGTGCTCCTTGGATTAACTGTAGGTCTCTGCCTTTAGTTTACTGATCTAGCTGGACTGTACAGCTTAAGGTACGGTGCCTAGACCTGGTAATTAGATAACTCCATGAATATGCAACCCTTGTGACCCAAATAATTATACCTTAATGCAATAAAAAATTAACTGATTGTGAGAAGAAACTAACTTTATTAGGGAAAATGATAGGATGAAATTAAGGGAGGGGTGAAGGTAAGAGATAGGAGTGAAAAGAAAAGTCATGGGAATTTGGGAAATAATGGTCTGTGGGCCTCAATCCTATGATGTGCTGAGCACTCTCAGCTCCCATCCCATTAACCAGTGGGAGTTGAGGGCTTTGGCACTATGCCCTAAAAAGTTTGACCTAGAAATTATTGTGGCCTCCTCTTTTTTGGAAAGCTCTTAATGCCTTCATTCTTTTTATGGTTAACTGGTGAAATGATTATAAATATATGTTCTGTGTATCTTGTTTTTCCACCATCAACAGCATGAACAGGTTAAATACCTTGCCTAGAGGATTTGGATCTTTACCAGCTCTGGAGGTTCTTGACTTGACTTATAACAACTTAAATGAAAATTCCCTGTCTGGAAACTTTTTCTATCTGAGTAAGAAACTTTTTTAAAAAAATCTATAAATCTTCCTAAAATGGTGCTTTGCTTTCTGCTGGTGAAATTTATTTGATAGAGCCCAAACTCCAATAGAATTTTTTAGATATATGTTTTTCTTCCTTGGGTCCTTTTGAATATTTCTACATAGCTCAGCAATATGTAGCATTGATATACAGTCACCTGACACTATTGGGCATGCAAGGACTTGGTTAGTAATGGCATATTTAGCTTTCTTGAGGGTAATATTTTCTTGAGCCACATACTTAACTAAAACTTAATAGATGCTAACAAGCCTCATGGCACAATAAAGAATGTCACCTTGAGGCATGTTGACAATCTGAAAGAAACCACAACCAAGTTTCCAGAAGTGTGTGTGTGTATAGTTTGTATATATGTTAAAAGCATGTTAAGGTTACAAAGTCAAACACTCAGAAGTTATGAAATCTCAGAATTCCAATTGCTTTTGCAGCTTTAATTGAGCCTTCTTGTGCATATCCATTGTGATAGTATTTAATTACGTTATCACATACTGTCTTTTCTGTATGATTCCAGCCTTTTAAGTGAATTCAATATTACTTTTTATTCTCATTCAGTGTGTGGCTCCAGGCCTTAGTTACTGCACACCCCAAACTGCATTGAATACAGTACTGTTGATTTCCTCCAGGGCATTTCTATGGTGCTCTGATCATACTATGAGTGCTTAATCAAACATTAATGAATTTAGCTTTAGAATATTCTTCTGAGATAGGGACGTGGTATTATCCCCATTTTATAGCTGTGGATCTGAGGCACTGAGAAACTAAGGCAAAAACAGTCCCAAGTGTCTACTGATTTTTGGGTGTCTGACTTGAGACATCTAAGGCCTGATTTTTTCAGAGTCCCTAGCATTTTTACAGCACCTTATATGTTCAAAGCACAGTGCCCCTCTCACCCCCCTTGACTTCAGTTACAGTTGTGAACATTTGGCCTTTTGCAAATCTGGCCCTAAGTATCTGTAGTAGGGCACCCAGAAAATGCGGAACACAGAATTAATTAGTGGCCAACTGTGAACACTGGTTTATGTGACTTGCCCAGCAACAGATAAGAACTCTGTAGTGGAGGCACGGATAGAATCTAGTTTCCCAGGGCAGCATTCAACTTTTTTCTTTTTGCAATCCCTTACCTCGTTCACTAGACACCTTCCAACTTCTGCAACAAATGAGGCCAGGGTCCTACAGACAGCAGCTTCTTTCACTATGCACCCCTGATTCAGTCCCAGAGTTCCATCCTTTGTGTGCACTGAATGAGGCGAGGTAGAAGAAATAGTATGTGATCATGTAGTTAAAGACTGAATCATTAATGCATGCACAGAAAGAGGCTCAGTTACGATTACCCAGGCAATCTTTACTCTGGTGTTCTTAACTTTTGCGTGTTTGACTTTGCAACCTTAATATTCTTTTTAACATAGTTTTTATTGGAAGTGTGATCAGAGCCTTAAGCAGAAAAAGTGGCAAAGAGGTTAGAGAAGGCCATGCTGCTTGCTGAGAAGGACCTGCTGATTATGATCCAACAGAAGGAAAGTTTTAAATTATCAAAAAGTTAAAAATGATGACTACAATGCAACTAACAAGAAACCTGCAAAACAGACATGCAACCTGCTCTCGGAGGGGGTGAGAGGTCATAGTCCTCTTCCCAGCATTCACTGTTGTCTTCTTTTGGTTTAATTTTCCTGAAAAGTAGCATGCTCAGCCACAGTGCTGTATAAATAGTAATAAGCTAAATGGATGTATTGGGTTTTTCTTTTTCGTTTTTGAATTTTATCGTTCTGTCCTCTACTGCAGAGAGACAGACTACCTATGAAAATATAAATGATTTGATTTGAACTCAGTTGTTTGTTCTACTATCCTGTTTTAAGATCTTTCCACAGAGCTGCATGTAGTTAAATATAGGTGTAAATTCATTCGAAACACAGCTTTTTTTATGTACATTAAGTAATAACTAGGAATCAGATGTAATAAAGAGTAATTGCTCCTTCTCACAGCTGAGCATTGAAACTATGTGCCAGAACCTGCCAGAGTCTATTGTAGAAATTGTTAATTGTGTCAGTCCTTTTGGAAATAGATGTTTTCCTGAACACACCAACAATACAATAAGGCAGTAAATCTAAGTTTGACCTGCTTGTTATTATTGTGAGCCCTGAGTATGTCAAAGGCTTTTCACCAAGTCAGGGTTATTAATCAAACCTGACTCTCTTATTGATCCGACCTCAAATGGTTGGGCTATACGCCTCCCTGTTTATATATTGCTGTTTAATTTGCAGCCACCCTGCGTGCACTCTATCTAAGTGACAACGATTTTGAAATCCTGCCGCCAGATATTGGGAAGCTCACAAAGTTGCAGATAGTAAGTAATTTATCTAAATTCTTGGAAAATCAATTCACTTTCGCAGCCCTTGTAGCAGTAGAATCTAGGCAATTTGAGAAGTAGTAGGGTTTGTTTTTCAGGAATAACCACTACACCTGTTACTGTTTCTTGTTTATCTTGTAAATAAATTGGAAGAATTGAGTGTTGGGGGGCAAGGGGTGGGCAGAGAGTAAGTGTTCTCTTTTAGGCTGCTTTATTTTAGCTGAACATTGTTCTGACAACTTTATATTTTCTTTTAGCTGAGCCTTAGGGACAATGACCTGATATCACTGCCTAAAGAAATTGGTGAACTCACTCAGCTTAAGGAACTTCATATCCAGGGAAACCGTCTTACTGTGCTGCCCCCAGAACTAGGTGAGATGGTAGATGGTTTTGTTGTTTTGAGTAATAATGATTGACACAATGTGCTTCCTGTTGATAACCTAAACCATCCGTTGATCTCCAAGAAATAGTCTTTGCTGAGGTTATCATTGCTGCTGCTATCTGTTTGTTCCCCCAGATACACACACTCACTTTATCTCTTGTTGGGTTTGTTTGTTTGTGTGTGTGTGTGTGTTTGGGAGAGGAAGGGCTCGTGTTTGTCATGTTGCACATTTGGCTGCATTACTTGTTCCCATATTATATATGACCTGTGTATTAGTCAGATTGCAAAATTTGCATACCGCATTCTGCTTTCATAATTTCTTTTAAAGACGTATTTTAATTGTCTGGAGCTGGTTGCGTTGAAATCATTGCTATAGTCAGCAAAAAAGAAATTTTGAATTTTCAGTGCTCGTATAGAAGTGGCTTTCTTGAGCCTGTTTCTGTAGAAATGGAAGTTTGGTCAACAAAAGTAAGATAAGGCTATTTTTGTTTTGTTTTGTTTTTGTTTTGTTTTGTTTTTTTAAGTCTACATTTTGATGTCACCTTTATTTTTTTGCTGATATGACAACTTTCCATCTAAACAATTGAACCAGCAGATGAAATATGGATTTGTGATTTCTGCCATTATCACTAGTAACTTAATTTTCTTTAACCAAAAGGTAATGGTCTTCTTTAGAAACTAAAAACTCTGGGTGTGGGTGGCACATTTGCGTTGCACTAGTGCATTTTGCGTTCTGGGCATTGACTTCAGTGGAGTTGTGCCCGTTTTCGCAAAATCTCCATTTGGGTTAGTGTGTTTTATGATACCCTTTAAATATGTCTTTTGGTATAAATATGCAGCAGGATCAGTTATCGGTTGCTCTCCTTCTGAATTTTGTGTCCTTGTCTCTACCAACTCCTATCCAACTAATTGCTGCTGACACACACACGCATGCGCGCACACACTCTCTTGTGTGTATACACATTCTCTCGCTTCACGTGTGTGTGTGTGTGTGTGATCTGTATAATAGATATATTAAAAAAAATGGTATTCTAATCTAAATCCACATTTTAGTTTACACATGTCAGTAAGCTTTGCCTTAAAGCCATAGGAAAAGCATCTGGTCATCGTCTTCGAGTGCTTGCTCACGTAGACTCCATTCTAGGTGTGCATGCACCCACGTACAGTTCTCAGACTTTTGCCTTAGCGGTATCTGGAGGGTCGGCTGTGGCACCCCCTTGAGTGCCACACTCGTGTAGTTATATCGGGCGCCGCTGGCCCTGTACCTTCTCAGTTCCTTCTTACTGCTCATGGTGGTTGGTCAGAGCACCTCTCTCCTTTGCTTTGCAAGTGGTGAGCGTTTACTTGACTCTTCGAACTTTGGTGATTCAGCTGTAAATAGTTCGTTTTTATTGCAGATTAGTTAGTAAGTAGCTGCTAAGTACTGTAATTAGTCAGTGTCCCAACAGGGACTTTGCCCAAGGCAGGGCATGCCCTGGTCTCCGCGCTGACTGTAATGGGCCTATGCCTGTTAGCGGACCCGCTTGGTAGCTATCTGAAGTGCCTGGGGGAATCCCACATTAAAGAAAAGTGTTGCATCTGTAAGACCTTTGGTCCCAGGACACAGAAAGAACATGACATTAATTTGAGGGCCCTCCTCCTGGAGGCCGCTCTTTGCACAGCCGGACGCAACACCCAGCACTTCGGCCTCAGTGCGCAGTGCAGCCCGGCACTGGGTTCTACCCGGCACTGATCCCCTTCGCTGGTACCCAAGAAGAGGGACCCGGCACTGAGCAAGTTGGACCAAGGGGCATAGGGTAAAGAACCCTGCTCAGGCTGCCTGCCCACGCCAGAGCTGCAAGGGGGAATGTCTCCAAGGGGACCTCTTACCCCCCTAAGGGATCCTCCACTGACTCTGGGGAGCAGTAGGGGACCCAGACTAATGGCACAGTCAACACCATCTCAGCTCCCAGTGCCCAGAAAGCAAAGGACTCTCCCACTGCAGCTGGTACCGCATGCAGTGATGGACCTGGCAAAGCCTCCCTATGAGGGCAAGCTAGCTGTGAGGGCTTCCTAGAAGGCGAGTGAGCACCACTGGTCTACGGAGCGGAAGCAGAGCCCTTTCTTCCCATGCCCTTGGTCTCCGCATCAGTCGAGGTCACCGGTTCAGCCACCACAGATCACTGGTACCGCACTCCCGGTCTCCGCCCTCGTGCCGAGTCTCGCCCAGAGAGAGGTGTAGGTCGCCGTACAGTTGTCACCGGTCATATTTGCTCCAACGAGCACCATCACAGAGACCTCAGGGATGCTCCCCAACACGGCACTGTTCCCCCTGCTCCCAGCACCGGTCTGACTATTCGAGGCACTGGTCACCCACGGCGACAGTAAGCTACAGGACTCAGGTGTGGACGGTCCTGCTCTGGTCACCGGAGGAGGATTTCTTCAGCACGGAGAGGGAGTTCAGCCGAGACAGCACTGTCGTGACTGGGCTCCTGAGGTTACATCCACCTCAACGATGCCAACCTGGCAGCAGGGCCAGTGGCCAGCGCAATGGCCTTACTGGAATGCTGGGGGTGTGCTGGTTATGCTGATGCCCCCATCTCACCAATTGTCAGTCGCCACATTGGACAAGTTCCAATTGGCACCGGCAGCACCGGGCTTGGTGCATGAAGCGTTGGCGGGCGCTGAGATGGAAGAACAGGTGCCCACCTCGAGGCCCCCTTACCCTGCAGAGGATGATGCCCTGGGTCATTCTCCTCCTCTCCAGAGAAGGCAGTGGCGGGGCCCTCCCATACTAGGCCACCAGACGACTTTAACAAGCACCAAGCCCTGCTCCAAAGGGTGGAGACCAACTTAGGTCAAGAGGCAGAAGAGACGGTGGAGCAATCAGACGCTTCGTTCAATGTGCTCTCTGCATCCACCCCAGCACGTGTTGCACTCCTGGTGCATGAAGGGGTCCTGAACATTGCCAAAGCCATGTGGCAAACCCCATCCTCCATCCCGCCCATTTCCAAGAAGGCTGAGGAAAAAGTGTGTGTGTGTTTGTGTATTTTTGTCCCTGCCACAGAGTTCGAACAATTATCTCCCCCCCCCCCCCCGAGGTCATTGGTTGTGTCAGCAGCCAACGAAAAGGACAAGCAAGGGAATGCTAGTTCCACCCTCAAAAATAAGAAGGCCAAGAGACTGGACCTTTTTCAGAAGCAAAATTTATTCCACAGCCAGTCTCCCAATTCCGAGTCATGAACCACCAGGCTCCACAAGTTTAAGGACTCCATGCCCTAGGAGGTGGCCAAAGAGTTCAGGACCCTTGTTGAGGAGGGTACTGCAGTGGCTGGGTGCTCCCTCCAGATGGCCTGGGATAAGGCTGATTCTGCGGCCAGAGTGGTCATGAGGCGCAGTTCCTGGCTTCAGACCTCAGTCCTATCCCAGGAGATGCACTTTTCGATACAAGATCTCCCATTTGGTGGAGTTGGGCTGTTTTTGGAACAGACCGACATGAGGCCACACGGTCTGAAGGACACTTGGACCACCCTCTGCTCCCCTGAGGATGCATACTCCTCAGTCAGCAAGGAAGCAATTCTGGTTGCCCCCACTGCCAAGGTCTTGGCAGCTGTGGCAGGGCTCTACGAGGAGAAGAGTTTTAGTTGCCGCCACCCTTCCTCCTCCTGTTCACCTGCACAACTTGGCTTGGTGAACCACCACTGGGCAAGAAGCAGGTGTTTTGGGCTCACACTCAAGAGCGGCACCCCAGTCACCTCCTTGGATCCGCCCCATCTTTTCCTCAGTTGTCTCCATCCCTACCCTTTGGCCTGGTCGAGAGTCACCTCGGACCACTGGGAGCTAGAGATTGTCCCGGGGCCACACCCTTCAGTTCTTCCCCTCCCCCCACCTCTCTTCCCTGTCCCTCTTCAGGGACTCTTCTCACGAGCGACTCCTCGTTCAGGAGGTAGACAACCTCCTACAACTGTGGGATGTGGAGGAGGTCCCTCAGGAAATGAGGGGGAAAAGTTTCTGCTCCCTCTATTTCCTGATTCCAAAAGTAAAAGAGGGCCTAAGACCCATTCTGGACCTGAACAACTCAAGTAGTACCTCAAGAAGTTGAAGTTTCGCATGGTTTCACTGGCCTCCATCATCCCTTCCTTCCATCCGGGAAACTGGTACGTGGACTTGAAAGAGGCTTATTTCCATATCTCTATTTTACAAGGACACAGACGGTTCCTCCATTTTATGGTGGGCCAGCACTATTTCCAGTTCACTGCGCTTTCCTTTGGCCTCTCCCCAGCCCCGCGGGTATATACAAAATGTATGGCCCCAGTAGCCACTTACCTGAGGCATCAGGGAGTCCAGGTCTATCTTTATCTTGATGATTGGCTCATCAAAGGCAGATCGCGGAATCAAGTGCAGAGCAGCCTCAATCTGGTGCATTCTACATGTCCTGACCTGGGCCTGTTAGAAATCTACCCCCATACCAGGGCAATGGAAAAGTTCATCGGGGTGAGCCTTGATTCCTCGTGGGCCAGGGCATTCCTTCTGGAGGCTTGTTTCCGAGCCACGTCGGACATAATGTCCCATGTAAGGGGCCAGCGCCTGCACTTGTCTAAGGTTGCTAGGCCACATGGCTGCCTGTATTTACGTTGTCCATCACCTCTGGCCGCTGCAGGCATGGTTGGAGTCTGTCTACATCTCCAACAAGCATGATCTGGCCCTGGTAGTCAGGGTACCAGACCACATCCAATCATAACTGGCGTGGTGGTTGGACCCCACATTAGTGTTGCAGGGAGTCCCTGTCGCGCCCCCATCCCTGTCACTAACTCTGGTGTCGGAAGCCTCGGACCTGGTCTGGGGACCCCACCTGGGCAAGTTCAGTACACAAGGGTGCTGGTCAGGGGTTAACCGCTCCCTCCACATAAATGTCAGGAGCTCAGGGTGGTTTGACTGGCCTGTCAGAGTTTTCAGTCCCAAGTGGTTCAAGTCCTGATGGACATCACCGCCACAGTGTTTCATATGAGGA